GTGAAGTATATAAAAATTTAAATATTAAAAATCTGGATCTAAAATATCAGTTTATTTTAAAAGAGACTAGAAAGCAGAAGGAAGTCTCAACTTAAAGACTCCTACTACACATCCAAATAAAGATGCCATGAGTTGGGAGAAGGAATAGCCAGCCTTTTTAACATAAAAGTATCCCAGGCCAGGTGCGGTGGCTCACACCTGTAATCCAAGCACTTTGGGACTCCAAAGCAGGCACATCACCTGAGGTCAGGAGTTCAAGACACACCTGGCCAACGTGGTGAAACCCTGTCTCTACTAAAAATACAAAAATTAGCCAAATGTGGTGGCAGGCATCTGTAATCCCAGCTACTAGGGAGGCTGAGTCAGGAGAATCGCTTGAACCTGGGAGGCAGAGGTTGCAGTGAGCGAGGATCATGCCACTGCACTCCAGCCTGGGCAACAGAATGAGACTCTGTCTCAAAAAAATAAAATTAAATTATATATATATATATATATATATATATATATATATATATATACACACACACACACACACACACACACACACACACACATATATATACATATTATATATATGCATCCCAAAAGAAGAAACTAGACCCTCTCAGTCATTGTTGGAGGAGATTCACATGAGGAAGCCCCACAACCCAGTGTCAGGATCTGATTTGGGTCTGATATTGGAGTAATTTTTTACAGTGGCTAGTATTACTTATCCCAATACACAGCAACAGTGGTACTTCAAGGCCAGGTGCAGTGTCTCACAGCACTAATCCCAGAACTTTGGGAGGCCAAGCCAGGAGGATTGCTTGAGGCCAGGAGGTCAAAACCAGCCTAGGCAACATAGTGAGACCCAATCTCTACCAAAAAATTAAAAATTAGCCAGGTATGGTGATGTGCACCTGTATTTCTAGCTAATCTGTAGGCTAAGGCAGGAGGATCACTTGAGTCTAGGAGTTTGAGGCTGCAGTAAGCTATAATCACACCACTGCACTAAAGAATTGCTACTTCAAAGCAAATTTACAACTTTAAAAACATGTATTAAGACTCTAGAATATTGGGAATAAATTAATTTTCAGGAAGTAAAGCCAAAGAAAACAGAAAAAAAAGAAACAAAGATAATACTAGAAATCAATAAGTTAGAAAACAAAGCAACTATAGAGGATTAATAACACCAAAAAATGAACAATAAATATACAAATCCTCCCAAAAAAAAGTATTTAAGCAATGTTAGAAATGAAAGTGTGACAAAATTACACTTGCAGAATAGATTTGAATCCAATGCCAATTAATTTCATAACTTAAATGAAAAAGACAATTTTCAAGAAAAATATAAAATCTTTAGGATGAGCTCAGGAACACAGAAAAAAACAGTAGTTATCTATGTGAGTGGTTTGTTTGGTTGGTTTTTGTATCTCTGAGAGTAGTTTTTATGCACAGCAAAGATTAATCAAGTGCTATCTTGGATTTTAAAGTTATTCTTCAATTTATAAATTCAAAAACTTAGTTCTTTCTTATTCTATTCTCAGATCTTTTTAACATCCTTCCTAACTTCATTTAAATTAAGTCCAACTGAAGTGTGCAAATCTCTCATGTCTCATCTGCTCCCAGTCACAGTTCTAAGGTCATTTAAAAATCATTAAAGAAATTGAGTCAGTAATCAAAGTCTTCCACCCACAAAAAATTTAACCAAATAGTTGCAGATAATCTCTCTTTACAAACTGTTTCCAAAGACAAGGAAAGGGAAGGAGAAAACAGACTTCCTAAGTCATTTTTTGATGCTGTTACAGTCTAATACCAAAACTAAGCAATGATGACAGTGTAAGAAAAGAAAATTACAAATCAATATTTCTTAGGAAAACAGATTTAAAGTTCTAGTATATATACAAACAAATCAAAGCCAAAAATATGTTACAAAATTTGTCATAACTAATTAGAGTTAATTACATGTATTATAAAGTCATTATAAAATCTACTAGTTAAACTGTACCATTATCAGGCAGACAAGGTGAATGACCAGGCAGCACATATAGCCCATCTACAACATCATTTAAGGGGGCAGAGGGACTCATGACGGGTACAAGTGCAGGAGCAGGTGTGTGGTTTTCCACTGCCTCTTGCATGCTGAGCAATGTCCAGGATATAGAGGGATTAGACATCAACCACTGAGAAAGGAACCTGGTCCTTGGGTTATGGAATGTATGAGCTGCTCACGCCATGGGATCAGCAGCTATGGCTGTATGACAGGACAGAACCGTGGACTCTAGCCCTGATCTTCTACCCCAACACTCACCAAGATCGATCACTCTATTATCAATCAAATAGAAAGGCAAAGTTACTTTTAACAAGTCATTGAAGATTAAGTGCTGCTATTATTAGTGCAGAACATGTTAGCACGATTAACTTAAAATCTGGGCCCCTAGACAAAATTTTTGGGAAAAGCTCTTCATACAGAACCCACAGATCCCCCATTACCAATTTCCCATAACCACTTGTCCATATCCGTTAGTCTTACTAAACAAGAAAGGAGAGACGACAGAGTAGAGGTAGGCATGAGGGGAACAAGCTAAAAAGGCTAAGAGACAAGTTTGTATTCCTTTCTTTGAACTCCAAATTCCTCCAGCATCTCTTGCTTTTGGGGAAACACACCAGGCTAAAAGGGAAAGCAGTTCTGGCCAGACATGGTGGCTCACACCTATAACTGTGCTTTGGAAAGTGGAAGCAAAAGGATTGCTTGAGCCTAGGGAGTCAAGACCTAACCTGGGCAATAAAGCAAGACCCCATCTCTACAAAAAAATAATTTTAAAAAATCAGCCAACTGTGGTGGTGTGCACACTAGCTGCTTGGGAGCTGAGGTGGGGGGATTCCCTATGGCCAGGAATTTGAGTATGCAGCTAGGATTGCACCACTGCACTCCAGCCTAGGCAACAGAGTGAGACCCTGTCTCTAAAAATAATAATGATAATAAGGAGAGAAAGCAATTCTGTGTGTTAGCCCTGAGCGTCCTGCCTGTTCACTAGTCAATGACTAAAGCAATTTCCTGATCTGATTTATTTAGGAATGATACAGATAGGAATAGTTAAGGGGCTCAAGAATATTCTAACTGAAATGATTTCTGGAAAAGTAGCAAACTGTGAAACTACTAAATAACTACTTGCAGCTATTAAAGATTAAAACATACCACATTCTGCCTGGACCTTGTAGGTCACATCTGTAATCCCAGCACTTTCAGAGGCCAAGGAGGGCAGATTACTTGAGCCCAGGAGTTTGCGATCAGCGTGGGCAACATGGCAAGCTCCATCTCTACTAGAAATACAAAAGTTAGCCAGGTGTGGTGGTGCATGCTTGCAGTCCCAGCTAATTAGAAGGCTGAGATGGGAGGGTCACTTGAGCCTGGGAGATAGAAGCTGCAGTGAGCCGTAATTGTGCCACTGCATTTCAGCCAGGGTGACAAAGTGAGACCCTGTCTCAAAAAAAACAAAACAAAAAACTACCACATTCTAATCATATGTAGACTTGTATAGGAGAATTCAAATGCAAGTGCGGTTCCCAAAAAATATACCTTGGGCCCCAGTGAGCAATTTTTATTAAAGAAAGATGTGCTTTCTGGGGAATTGGAAGCCCAGTCTGTTGATTGCCTGAAGTGACATGGAGAAAAAGGACAAATCTTTGGAGTCAAAGGGATTAAAGCTAAAATTATTATTTAGGATTGTATGATGTGAGCAAATTCTATAATGTCTCTTGCCCTCTGTTTTCTACTCTGAAAAATAGTAACAATATCTTGCAAGATTAGGCATGCTAATAATAATAAAAACACTGCAAATGGTAACTGTGTATACGAATATTTTCTATCAGAAAACTCCCTATGAATACAGGGAGGGGCTTTATTTTTAAATTCCGCTATTACACAAGAGCTTCTTGAGTTTGGATTAGGAAGCTATTAACATTTGTTTCTCTCATGATGCTGCTACTTAGATGTTGCTTAGTCTGGTTTAAACCCTTGGAAAGGTGACCTCAGATAAGCACTCAAAAACATTTAAAGGCTACTTAACTTTAGATTTAATGTTTTAATTTCTTGAGTTGAATTCTCACCTACCCCAATTTTTATTTGCTCCCCTCAAAATTATTTTCTGAAATGTCTGCTTTTCCTGAAACAGAGAATTTTTCCAAGAGTGTGAATTTACTCATGGGAATGAATGGGTCTCATAACCTTAGAGACTTTAGACAAATAAGAACCCCTAAACAGTCCATATCTTTAAAGCAGAGCATGTTTTCTAATAATGGAGTTGTCAAAAGTTCTGATTTTTCAAATTGCTTTTAATGTGATGAAAACATGAAACAGTTTATATTTTATTGACCTCACTGTTTAAAGTAAAGGGTCTGGCAAAAGGTGTAAGTAAACAAAATCATATCACCTCAACTCCAATCATTTCATATCTCTCTCTCTCTCTCTTTCTCTCTCTCTCTCTCTCTCTCTCTCTCACACACACACACACACACACACACACACACACACATGCACACACAGCCCACAGCGCTGCAATCAAAGAAAAATAGAGTATACCAAAACGGGCTTGGCAAACTCCTAAGTAACGATCAAAAATCCTTGAAGCCAAGGTGCCACTGTCCTTATAGACTACTATTTTTAAAATATTTCTCATTGAAAACAACAGCATGATTAATCTCACCATTCCCACTTAAATTACTTACATGGATACAACAATGCAATATGGGCAATTATTAAAAACACTTTATTATGTATAATTTGTACATGCTTCAGTTTGTGTTACTTAGGGTGATTTGTTTTTTAGATTGTAATATCATCTACCAACATTAGCTAGATCTACTTTTCATTCTGCCATGCCACATACAAAAATACAATTTTCAAAGCAAAGCTTCTCTTCTTTACACAAAGGTACACAAGAGTTTATCAGACAAATAAAATAAGAATACTTTGCACACATATCAACACCATACAAGGCATTATCCTTCACACAGTAATATCTAATGTGTTTTTATTTTTGAAACAGCAGGTAAAGAGCCCCTTCCCTTCAGAGGAAAATGAAAACTTTATCTGTTACTAAAACCAAACTCCAGCGATGAAGATGTGGTCATCTGGAGAAAGTAGAGGGATAGGGATGTATGGAGGAGGATGGACGCCCCTTCATAAGCACTTCAGGAGGAAGGAATTGCAGGAGGTCCCTCGGGGACAGTCACATAGCTTTCCGATCCTTGCCCCTTTCCTCACTGCACATTGCTCACCGGCGTCGCACTGCAAACAACACAAAGTGTGGTCATCGAGTATGAACAAACCCAGACTCTCAACAGGCAAGTCTCACAGTCAACGCAATTTCTGTCTCACGAAAGGGCCAATCGGACTCCATCACCATCAGAGGAGGTCTAAGTACAGTCAGGTCTGAAACAGGGAATCTTGTGTTTATGACTTCAGTGAGACTACATTTTTTTAAAGAAACTTACGTTATTTTATCCTAGTTTCTTCCTAGTTTTATCCTAATTTCTTCCACCTTTAGGTGGCAAGGGTTGGGGGGGGGAGGGGAGCATTACATTTCCTGGCTCCTTTTCTTGCCCATTCAAAGGGTAAAAAAATCGATCAGACTTTTTTTCTGAGAAACAAACAATAGACCTACATTTTCTTACAACCCCTGTTCCTGCTTTCCCATTTCCTCACCCAGGAAGAAAGAAAGAGCCCACAGAACCCTGCAAACCCTTTACCTAAGTTATGTATCCACATGGTAGAGAAAAGATTGTGAGTATGATTTAAGGAAGTGTACTTTCTCTCGAAAAAAACACAGAAAGGGAGTGACCACAAACCTTACCATGGGGACTTGGCCATACTTCTTCTCATAGATGGGAATGCGTTTACTCTTGAGCTTCTTCAAGACTTCCTGCAGCGCTTCGATCTGCAACACACAGCCCCGGAGCCCAAAGTTGCCGCCTTGGCTGCGAGCCCAGCCCAGGTGCTCACTTCTAGCCCTAGTTATAAGGAGCCCGGGACCCACACGCACTCTGCGGTGGAACTCAGCGGACCAGGGAATGGTGGAGGGGTGGAAACTTAGCTGGCGCTGTCCCATGTACTGACCGCGGGTCTCCGAGCCTCTGAGGCTCCTGTTGCTCAGAAGGGCGGGTATGAGGGATTCGCTCAACAGATTGCCAGGAGCCCTTGGGCTCTAGACGCTCTTCGGATCGCAAAGAGTGCCCGGGCTTTGCGCTCAGCTCCCCGCGTCCTGACTCTGGGAATAGGAGTGGGGGGTGGGAGGAGGAGGGAGGCGTGCAAAGGAAGGGAGAGCGCGGCAGCTCAAAGGGGTCGGGAGCGAGGGGAATACCGACCAGCTCCTTCTCATGGGAGGCATCCTCCACGGCAGAGTAGATGTCCAGGGCTCGGGGCTGGAGCTCGGCGTCCTCCTGGGCACGGGTACCCAGCAGAGGTAGCAGCAGCAGCAGGGAGACGCCCAGGAGGGGCAGCAGCCGCACGCGGGAGCTCTCCATGGTTCTGAAACTCGTCGTTGCTGGGGCACCCCGCGCTCCCACGTTTTATAGTGAGCCAGAGCCCCCGTGCAGGAAAGAGGGAGGGGGCGAAGAAGGAAGGGGGTGTGGAGGAGGGCCCGGGTCAACCGTCTGTAGGCAGCGCTCCGCTGGCGCTTGACGTCAATGCCCGCCGGGCTCCAGGCGCTTGGGAACGAGGCTCTGCGCACAGATGGGTTACAGCGCAGAGAACAGGACCCCGCGCCCCCAAATGCGGTCAGCCCCGAGGCGAAGGACGCTCCCCGAGGGGCCTGAGCTGAAGCCAGGGAGCTAGAGGTGAGGGGTGGGGAGCGGAAGTGGCCTAAGAAATGGAAAATGCCTTCGGGGCAATGCACAGGCAAGAGAGTCATTTCCCATCACCTAGCAGCGGTGGCAGCCGCACCATCCACCTCGTCAGCCCTTCCTTCTGGTACCCCAACCCCAAGTGTGGCGGCGAGAAAGGGGTGTTGCCTCCAGACAGCCATGTGTGCTGAGCACCTTACTCTGTGGGATAGGGGAGGTAAACATAGTACACAAAAGAAAGAGAAATAGTGGCCCTCCCACGATGGATTCTTTGATGGAAACTGTGTGATAACAGTTAAAAGAAGAGAAGAAAAACAGACAAACCCCGATTCAGCAGTGGTGTGGGAAGTGCAGAGAACCAGGCTCTGGTTCCCGTCCTGTCTACACCACGTACAAGCTGTATGACTTTGAGCAAAATGAAGAACCTTTCCAAGCCTCAGCTTTCTCTTCTGTAGAACTAGGATTAAAAAGATGTACCTCACAAAGTAATCAGTAGGATGAAATGAGAGATTAAGTATGTCAAACTCCTGGTTCTCAGCTAAGGTTCCCTGTCCCTCCTTTTTGAACTTGGAGGCTATTCAGACAAATTTAACCATCCCCATAACCCCCTTACCCAGCATCCACCCCTGGTATCCAAGCAGCCTGTCTAGAAACAGAGTAAAAGAGTAAAAAGAAAGGCAGCTCCCTGATTTTGAAAATATCTCCAGAGATCAGAAGTCAATGGTGACCTGGATCCCAGCAACCTGTGAGAACACTGTGGCTTTTGTAAAAGTTGAGGTCCTTACAGCCTAAATGCACATGAAAGTTTGTGTAGGAGAAGCAAGGCTTTCCACTTAGACCTAGAGACCAGTCCCACCTGCTTGCTCACCTGGCTTTCTTCACCACACCCTCTTTCCCTCAACTGCTCCTAAATTCATCCACTCTTCTCCATCCCCATTACTACAACCCAGTCCTGGACAGATACCCCAGTCAACGTAATGTCTAGCGCTTAATTCCCACTCTGTCTTCTCTTGCCTTCCTCTAATCCATAGTTCACCACCAGCCAGAGTATTTTCCCCCTTAAAATACATTAATGACTTCTAATCTTTCTAAGCACTGAATCTAAATTCCTCATCCTGACTTGGAAAGCATTCTATGATCTGCATCCCTATCTACCTCATGGTCTACCACTTTGCCTCAGACTCCTTCACTCCAGCCTCACATAGCTTTCTTTCTGGTCCTCTAGCAGACCAATCTCATTTCTACTTTAGTGCCTTTGCACTCACCTCAGCTGCAAAGGTCTTCCTATATTTCCAAATGGCTCACTACTTCTGTCATTTAAATCTCAGTGTAAAATGTCTATGACTACTCAATCCCAAGCATCTACCAATTTTTTTCTCCCACGAGTTTATTGCTTAGCAGATGATGTGGGTCATTAAGATAGTTAATACACAATATGTATCTGGTTACATCAGCTATCAAGTATTTAATTGGTACTTAAATACACACTGAGAAGCAATTCAAAGAGTGATATCTCTTCTAATGAATGGCACACATATTAACAGCATCAAAATATTTTGCTGTGGGGTAACTCCAACCTAAAAATACATCTAACACCTTCCTCAGCCCTGCCTTCCACACATACCTTTTGATTCTGCACAACAAAACTTCAGTGGCAGCACATTTTACTGTTAAAACCTTACAGAGACATATTGGCACTCACTGCAAAAACTATCTGCAGTGATCTTTAAACTATTCTAAGTTTCAAAAGAAAAATAATCTTAAATAAGAGCAGAAAATCAAACACTGCATGTTCTCACTCATAGACGGGTGTTGAACAATGAGAACACATGGACACAGGGAGGGGAGCACTACACACTGAGGTCTGTTGGGGGGAAATAGGGGAGGGACAGCGAGGGGTGGGGAGAAATGCCAGATATAGGTGATAGGGAGGAAGGCAGCAAGTCACACGGCCACGAGTGTATCTATGCAACAATCTTACATGTTCTTCAGATGTACCCCAAAACCTAAAATGCAATTTTAAAAAAAGATCTTAGCCCATTCTTCCTGAAGGATGTAGATATTGCCAATCCAGTACTTTCTCTCCAATTTTGTTCTACCTAGACACAAATAATAGCTTTCCCTTTGTGCTACATCTATTGGAAAAATAACCCCAAAGTTTAAGTCTTGCTGAACTTTAATTGGTGTTATCATTTTCTTATAAGGAGGGTGCCACATTTAGTCAAGGGCTTAGGGAAAGGCCTTGGACAAACCTGTGAAGCAAGCCAGGGGCATTTTTGTCACTCACATACCACATGCTTTTTTTGTCTTGAACAGAATGACTTTATAAACTGACTTTAGGAAGGATGGTATAGTATATTTTAGGCTATCTTCTTCCCAATGACAACTTATGTAAGTTAAAACTAAAAAAAAATAAAATAAATAAATAAATTTTAAAAAGACATGAAATGTCTTCACATTATGCCCTGTTAGGAGAATTTGCATATTCTTACTACTTTGTAATGACTCCATTAGGGGGAAAAAGCCCATCTTTGATGCCCCAAGCAAGTAAAATCACGGTGGAATTCAATTACTACTTCTCACCTCAGATATAGAAAAGGGAGGCAGGTCATCTCATGAAAGACAAGCAATGGCCAGGATGTGTCTTTGGAGATTTAATGTGAACAAATCTCTCTTAACCATCTTTTCTGAGATAGAGTAGGCCTCCAGTCCTTCTCTTTGAAATAGACCAAGCAAAGAAATCTCATAAGCAGAGAGCCAAGACACTACTGCCAGTAAGATCTTACAACATACAGCTATCTGAGTAGAACATTTTAAAAACCTCTTCTTACTCATGCTTGAAAGGCCACTTTTCAGATATGGGGAGGTAGCACTGATCAAGAGACAGACTGTTTCCTAGGACAAGGAAACATTTCCCTGGATCCCAGCACAGCTCACCTTGCTGGAGTACAGCAGGAGTGGCATGCCTAACCCACAATTCCCATGCCACCATCAACCCCATCTTCTCCTCTAACTGTTCTGGATCAAAATATCCTAACCTTATAGAAAGTGTAAAACTAACACTAAAACAGCTGACTAGAATATCCAAGAGATTAACCATATGACTTAATAGAGAGCAATTTTGAATCATTCAATGATTATTCATTGTCTATAGGTTAAAGTCAACTTCTCAGTATGGTGTCGAAGTTTCTTATAATATGGTTCTGGCCATATTTCTAATCTCATTTTTCTCTACTCCCAACCAATCCCATCAGATATATTTTACTTTGTGGGTACATCATCCTTATTTCTTAATTTTGCACTGAATTAGAACAATAGACTATGTTACACTGCTTTAACCAAAAAAATTCCAAATCTTGGTGACTTAAAAAAAATACGCAGCCGTATTTCTCACTTGTGTCCCATGAGCACCAAGAATTGGTGGAGTGTTCTGTTCATCGCGGTCACTCAGGGACCCGGACTGACAGATTATCCATCATCTCTAAAGTGGTTAATTTTGTTCCAAAGGGGAAAAAAAAGAGTCTTTAATGAACAGCTAAAAACTTTGGCTCATAAATGATACTTCACTTTGGCTTCCAACTCATTCACCTGAACTAATCACACGGCTTCACCAAAGTAAAAAGGACTAAGAATTACAGTGTTACCAAGTGCCTACAATGCAATATTGTGAAACAGCATTAATGACTACACATGCCTCTGCCTTTGTTCATGCCCTTTCCTATTCCTCAAATGTCCTTACCATACCTTGAACATCTAAAAAACTCATGCTTCCTATCAGCAGAATTTATTCCTTGTGGATGTATGACTAAAGGCCTCCACCTCTTGCTAGCTGTTGGCTGCAGGCCACCCACAGTTTTTAGAGGCCACCCTTTGTTCTTTACCATCTGGGTTCCCTCAACATGGCCACTTCATTAAGGACAAAATGTAAGTCTCTAAGAGCAGTCTGCTAAGATGGAGCTTTATGTAAATTAGTTCAACCATTGTGAAAGACAGTGTGGCGATTCCTCAAGGGTCTAGAAACAGAAATATTATTTGACCCAGCAATCCCATTAGCGTGTATATACCCAAAGGATTATAAATCATTCTATTATAAAGACACATGAACACGTATGTTTACTGCAGCACTGTTTACAACAGCAAAGACTTGGAACCAACCCAAATGCCCATCAATTATAGACTGGATAAAGCAAATATGGCACATATACACCTTGGAATACTATGCAGCCTTAAAGAAGGATTAGTTTATGTCCTTTGCATGGACATGGATGAAGCTGGAAACCATCATTCTCAGCAAACTAACACAGGAACAGAAAACCAAACACCGCATGTTCTCACTCATAAGTGGGAGTTGAACAATGAGAGCACATGGACACAGGGAGGGAAATATCCCACACAGGGGCCTGATGAGGAATAGGGTACTAGGGGAGGGATAGCATTAGGAGAAATACCTAATGTAGATGACAGGTTGATAGGTGCAGAAAACCACCATGGCACATGTATACCTACATAACAAAACTGCACAGCACATTCTGCACATGTATCCCAGAACTTAAAGTGTAATAAAAAAGAAAAGATGGAGCTTTACATAGTGTAATGTAGTTGCAGAAGTAGCAGTCAATCGCTTTTGCTATATTGTATTGGTTAGAAGCAGTTCACAGTTCCCATCCATACTCAAGGACAGGGGATCAGACAAAGGGGTGACTAAAGCAGCAGAGATCACTGCAGTCACCTTAGTTTTTGTCTGACACATATATACAAGGTGAAACCATCACTATAATAAAGATGAAAATTTCAGTCACCTTCAGAAGT